GTTTCAGATGTTTGGGGTCCTGCTTCTTATAATTATTCAGATGGGTTTTCTTTTTATGTTTCATTTGTTGATGTCTCGAGTAGATACACCTGGGTTTACTTGCTTAAAAGGAAGTCTGAGATGTTATAATGTTTCATTAATTTTTACATGTTAATAGAAGTATAATTTGGTTATAAAATTAAGGTTTTGCAACAGATGGTGGTGGTGAATATCAGTCACTTAAGGGATGGTTGCAGCAAAATGGTGTAGCGCATCGAATTTCATGTCCATGCACCTCTGAGCAAAATAGCCGAGCTGAACGTAAATATAGGCAAATTGTTGAAATAGGGTTAGCCATATTGGCTCAAGCATCGCTACCCCTGAAATTTTAGAGCTATGCCTTTTATCCGCTGTTTATCTCATCAATAGACTGCCCACTCAAGTTTTGGATGGCAAATCTCCATTTGAAGTTTTGTATCGCATAGTTCCAAATATACTTTTCTACGTGTTTTTGGTTGTGCATGTTTTTCATGCATGAGATATGATAATCGTCACAAATTAGAGTTTAGGTCAAAGTGATGTGTTTTTCTAGGTTATAGTTCGTCTCATAAGGGCTATCGATGTTTAGATGATGATGGTAAGGTAATCATCTCTCGACACGTGTTGATGAACATGTCTCTCCTTTTTAACAAAGTTGCAGCATTACAACCAATAGTCCATGTCATTCAGGGGTCACTGAAGGGCTTCTTTCGGTTGTTACACCTTTAGTATCTGGGTCGAGTGAAATGAATGAGGGTAACACCTCGCATGTTGTAGCTTCTCCATCTACTGATGGGTTGTTAATGCATGAGGAGCATGTTGCTACAGACTCGGTTGATACTTATGTTGTAGCGTCTTCAGCTGCTGATAGAGTGTTATCTCATGAAGAGCAGGTTGCTATAGACTTGGCAGATATTTCTATGTATCCTTTATCACTTGGGGTTGCTGTTGAAGAGTTGGTTTCAGAATTTAGGGATACTGGTCATGTACAGGATCCTAGTTTTGGAGCAGTTACTTTGATTGACATTGTGCCACATATTTGTATTGATCAGACTACCCCTTGTCAAAATATTCACCCCATGGTTACACGTAGTAAAAATGGGATACATAAACCAAAGGTTTTGAATGTTTCATTTGATGATAAAGAACCTACAACTATTAATGAGGCTTTTCTTCATCCTCACTAGAAGGCTGCAACACAGGCAGAATTTGATGCCTTAGTTCATAATGAAACCTGGACGTTGGTCCCTCTTCCTAAAGATAGGCGAGCTGTGAGTTGTAAATGGCTTTTTAAAATTAAAAGAAATGCATATAACTCCATTGCTCGTTACAAAGCTCGTCTTGTGACCAAGGGATTTCTTCAGCAACCTGAGATTGATTTTAATGAGGTGTTTAGTCCTTTGGTAAAGCCAGTCACTGTTCAAGTCATAATCTCCCTTGCTTTAGCAAAAGGTTGGTCCCTCAGGCAGGTAGACATTAACAATGCCTTCTTAAATGAACATTTATCTGAGGAAGTGTATATGTTGTAGCCTCTAGGTTATGAACAAGGTGGTGGTAATATGGTGTGCAAACTGAATAAAGCAATCTATGGTCTAAAGCAGGCACCCCGTGCATGGTTTGAGAGTCTCAAAGGGTATTTGATCTCAGAAGGATTTTTTTTGTCACGATCAGATGCCTCTTTATTTGTTCGCAAAACCGATGTTGGTATGAATTATCTCTTGATCTATGTAGATGATATTATTCTTACAGGAAGCTGCTCGAATGAAGTTCAAGATGTTATAAATAAGCTTCATACAAAATTTGCTTTGAAAGATCTTGTCCTTCTTAAGTTTTTCCTGGCATTGAAGTCTGTTATGATTCTAATAGTTTAGTAATGAATCAACAAAAGTATGTTCTTTATTTGTTACAAATGAGTGCTGCGAGTGGAACACCCATTGATGAGGTGGCTCGCTATAGAATCATTGTTGGTGCTCTCTAATATATGGTTATTACTAGGCCAGATATTGCCTATGTTGTTAATTGTGTCTGTTAGTTTATGCAAGCTCCTAGAGATTTACATTTCCTGGCAGTCAAGAGAATTTTGAGGTATTTGCAGGGAACTTTGGATTATGGTTTGCGGTTCTCATCCTCTTCTCGACTATCCTTGGTGGGCTTTACTGATGCAAATTGGGGTGCTGATGTTGATGACAGGTGATCTACATCAGGATATTGCATTTATTTTGGTTACAATCTAGTGTCATGGAGTTTTCGTAAACAACAGGTGGTTGCTCGATCTACTGCTGAAGAAGAATATCGCAGTGTTGCTTCAGCTGCTTCAGAAATCATATGGCTTGTGTCTTTGCTCAAAGAATTACAGTGTTCATTTCATGGCAAACCAACTCTTTGGTGTGACAATATGAGCACTGTTGTTGTGTGCTCCAATCCAGTCCTTCATTCAAAGTTTAAACATATCGAGTTGGATTTGTTCTTTGTTCGAGAAATAGTATCAGTTGGTCGGTTGTAGGTTTAGGAGGTTCCAACGTATGAGTAGGTTGTTGATGCTCTTACTAAGCCATTATCTACCCCGATGTTTATCCGTCATCGGCAAAAGATGTTGGTCACTCGGGTTCATAAGGATGGTTGACTAGCTTTTCTCAACGTGTGAATGATGGTGAAGCTGAAGATGTGGATTGCATGGGGAATGTTAGTGTATATGAACAGCATAAAGAGTGTTCATAAACATGTGAAGCTGAAGGTGTGGATTGCATGAGGAATGTTAGTGTATATGAACAGCATGAAGAACATTAGTATGGAGTTGGTTTCAACTAAGTTGTTATGAGTTGGTTAAAGGTTGTTATTAGTTAGTTAAGAGAAGTTTGTTAATCAGTTGTTATAAATAAGTTGTTAGATTTCATTCTTGGACACAAGTAATTCCATTAATAAGATGTAAAGTATTCTTTTATTTTCTCTTCTATTTTTACTGTACTTAGTAGCTAGGTTTATATCATAACACGTTTATCTCCTATAGTACCACATATTATCAATCTGTTGGATAGAGATTGGAATATACAGTTTCTCTACGTCCCTCGCGAATAGAATAAAGTAGCATATGCGATGATGAAGTTCACATAAGAATTATCGTTTGGTATTAGAAAATACATGCGCCCACCGAATACAATTGAGCTGCTATTGCAGTCCGGATGGCTTTGGCAGGGTATACACTACTGGTAGCAATGAAGCTTAGACCTTTTTTTTTATTTTCTTCTTTTTTGTTAAAAATACAAAGGGTAAACTATATCATTGACCACTTAACTACTTAGTCCTTTTACTTTTACTGTTATCAATTAAGCCACCTGTTGTTAACAGTTGACGGAAGTATTGATGTGTGTTGATGTGGCAGTTAAAAATTGATATAATTACACATTTAGTCCTCAATACTTGTACATTCTATCAATTTAATCCTAATTTTAATTTAATTTAATAAATTTAATCCTTTAATCAGATTATGACACATATCACAATATGAATGAAGGGTATTTAAAAAGTAAAAGATAATTTTAGATTTAACTAAGTAATAGTTTTAATTTTTTAAATAATTTAATATATATATATATATAACTCAATTTAATTTTTTTAAAAATAATTTATTGTATTTTAATAAAAATAAATTAATTTAAAAGTATATAAAATCAGTAATAAAAAATTAAAATTATTTCCTCATTTAAAAAATAATTTAATGATATATATATATATATATATATATATATATATTATTGTTAAACTTATCAAACAATTTAAGTTTTTAAATAATTTTGAATATATATATATATATATATATATATATATATTAATAAAAATTTTAAAATTGCTATTTATGTTAAAAGGATTTAATTTGGTGACTACACATATAAAATATTAATAACTTTATCAAATAATTTATCTTTTAAATAATTTCATATATTTATTAATAAAGGTAAATTTATTTTTATATATAACTATTAGTAAAAAATTAGGATTATTAATTAAGTTAAAAAATTAATTTAATGACTATGTATATAAATTGTTATTAACTTTATCAAATAATTTCATATATTTGTTAATAAGAATAAATTGAATTATATATTTATTTATCTATTTATATGAATGAGATTATTAAAAAAATTTAAAATAGTTACTTTTTTTCCTGTCATTCAATACAATATGTTATATTTTACATGTCGCATTTCATAATCAAGAAAACAATTCTAATTCAATGGATTGGTCTCTAGTATATAACTTTGGTGATACATGTTTAATCCCCATTATCCTTTTATTGCGTTATTTATTTTTCTACCGTTAATTTTTCATCTAATCTGATTGTGACACATGTCATTATATTTTGGATGGAAAAATTAAATTAAAAAGTATTTCATTTATGTTGTGTAGAATTAAATATATTAAATTAAATTAAGATTAGAATTAAATTGATAGAATATATAGGTATTGAGAATTAAATGCATAATTATATCAATTTTTTAATTTGTCACGTCAACACTCCTGTCAACGGCTAACGACAAGTGACTTGATTGACAATAGTTAAATAGTTAGGTGGCCTGAAACACGTCTCTCTTTTTTTGTCAGAATATGTGCTACTTTGATATATAATCGAGAAAGGGTGTTAATATGATTTTTTTTTAATTTTAGGGTGATTTTCTGATAAAATTTCCAAACAAAAGTCCTATAACAATTATAATTTATATTATTTCAATTAATATTTTGTGTTTTATTCAAATAAATCAAATAAAATAATATTATTTTTAAAAATGATTTTATATTTCTGAAACCAAACACGTCCTATTTTATCGGGTAAGATTGGGCCAAAAATGGTAAATGCCGGCCTAAAATTGGGCCATAAATAATCAAGAAAGATTTCAACGGTTGCGATCGGTGATGTGAGCACTGATCTCAAACAATTAATTAATAAGTAAGAATAAGAAATGTATAAAATTCTGGCGGCTCCCAATGCCCACAGTAAACAAACTATATTTTTTTAACTTGCTACGAAAGAAAATCCATCGACGAAGATCTATAAAGAGAGAAAAAAGAATGAAGCTTGCGAGAACGAGAGATTAAGAGGGAAAAATGGTGCTGTGGGAGATAGCACTGGGAACGGCTTATTTCTTGGGGCTTAAACGAACTTACAGGTTTGCTTTGAAGATTCAGCGACGGATCATTAGCCGCAACCATCCTAGGTTCCATCAATTTGCTCAAAGGTAAACATATTTCTCTTTTCATTTACTATTACATTATATCGTTCAGGCTTTGATTGCTTTTGCATCGTATTAAGGAGTTGTTATTGAACCCTGAACTACTAGCAGTACTATTCATCATTGGTAGGGGTGAGCTTTCAATCCAGTCGGGTTGAGTTAAAAAATTTCGATTTATTCAAATCCATGAGTTTTATATTATTAATTAAACTTTATTTGAAATTTTTTAAAGTTGAGTCAATTCGATTTGATTTTTTTCGAGTCGTTTTGCTCGCCGATAATCAGCAGATACTGGAGTTAGTGAAATGATATTATGAGATTCGATTGAATATGGATCTGCCAGTAGGCCCTCGAAACATTTATGAAAAATTTCATTCATTAGTTATTAACTGCGTTTTCTCAATATTTGCTCTGCTGGGTGTCTGTTTTCATATCTGAAAGAAATTCGGAGAATTGAGGTATGCAGACTGTTACAAATGGTCATTTTTAATCAAATTAAGGCCCATTTCCATTTTTTTAATAATCAATAGACTTGCATTTCTCATAAACTCTAGTTTGGACAAATGGACAACTTGAAACTGTCACAGGACTTGGGGGATGGTTTGCATTTCTCCCATTATTTCTGTACTTGATTCCTTTTTGCGGTGTAGTATGAGTTCAGTTTTCAACGTTTCATACGAGTTAAATTTGTGCTGATGTGTAACATAAGCAGGCAGAGTTTGCCCTTACGATTACTGGCACGTATTGCTAGCAGGGCATATTCTTCTGACCAGCACATTAGTTCTGTGAAATGATTTCAGTTTGAGATAATCATGTGGATACTGTGTATTCTTAGTTCTATTTAACAAAACTTACCCTGCAGACATGCCTGTGTGTTATAACCGAGCATATGAATGTACTACAAAGGTAGAATACCATAACTTTCAATATTTTTCTGACATTTATGACTTAGTCGTTTACATGTAAAAAAGGGTCAACTTTTTTCTTTTAAGTTGAAAGAATGTGAGTGAAATTTATCATATTTGTACATCAATCAACCTCTTTTCTTTATACCTTTCCAATTAGGTGCTTGGATGTTAATTGAAAATGTCTAAAAATATTCCATGTTTACTTGAATGTTTTGATTGATATCTAGACATGGAACAAGTTTTATACTCTCTCGGCAACCAACTAGTGAATTGATTATTTGAGGTGCAGGACGATAGCGTGCACCCCCTTGAGTTTCCTTACTACGCTATTTAAACATACCCATAGTTCATCATTTCTATGAGCTACAGATATTAGTGAAACATGTTGTCATTCTTATAATGTTTGTTTCATTTCTAGATTTCCATGTGTTGCAGGAGCTTTAATTTTGCTATCCTGTTGTTCCTACAATTTTTGTTTTTTCCAATTTCCGCCCGTTTTATACAGGGGCATCAACCTTGCCTTGTTAATTGAAGCTACTATGGTAGAACCTTTCTTACTATGTAACCGGTAGTAGTTAACTCACCAATTCTTAATGAGCTTCATTTCCAAGTGAGAGCACAATCCTAAATGTCAAATGTTTTGGAACTGTTAACGTTGGAAGGATTAGGACTTGAAAGACATTCTTTGACTTCTGTTTTCTTTTGGAATCTGTTATCTTTTTCTGCCACCAGACGAACACGCGCCGTATTCGATGTAGCACTCACGGTTAACAGGAGCATACAGCACAGAGACATGGAAGTTGGTCGGAATCTTGGTAACTGGATACTCCGCTGGCTTAATAAAATGAAACCCTCAGTGCAGATCCGTGCTCCAACTGGCAAGAAACCCCACCATGTTGCTGGCAGAGCATTCATGAACATTCGGAAGCAAGTGACGAAGTCAACATCGTTGAGAATTTCACGAATCATCCAGTCACCTCGAAACAATGTGGCTGTTAGACATCTTTTTAGATCATCACCAAATATGTGGGCCAATTCCTTCCCTACAATTGCAATGATGATGCGGCCACCAAGTGCTGCTGGAAACACGACTCAATGCAGGCATTTAAGTAGGAATGGACCTGACACATCGAGGCTGAACTATGTGAGAGGCGAGGGAGTTATTAGGAAGGATATAATGCAATGGATGTTGTGCTAGTGCAGGTAAAATCCCATATCTGTTAGCATTTTTGGACTTTCAAAACTATCAAACTTTCATGGGAAGCACCAAACTGGGTGCTGCAAGACTGTTATTATGAAGAGACTCAGTGCTTTGAATTCTGCATGATTTCTGAAGTGGTTTATATGGGGTAACAAGTTTTTTCCTTGCCAACAACTGCTTTTTTCCGGCATTCCGTTGGTTAGAGAATACATTACTTGATTGTTTAGTGCATTGTTATCGTCTAAAATAAAATCTGTTGTAATATGTTCATGTATTCTTCTCATGTTCGTGTTCTGTTTTTTTTTTTATCAGAGCGTTTTAGTAGAATTATGAGGTCTATTCTAGTTTTCCTGTGAGTGCTTGATATAAGCATTCGGTAAACATCTAAAAAATGCAGTCATTCTATTCTCATATCTAATTTTAAATTAGCCAAGCTTGAACAATCGATAAAGATAATCAAGTTCTTGCAGGAGAATTGGAGTGTTCATGGATCACTCAACTGTGAATTATTCAATTGAAATGTTTAATTATGACTTAACTCATTTAGTAATTAAAAGAACTATTGTTTTTTTTTTAAATTAGATTCAAACGTTGCGTCTGTAAGATGTGTATGTCATAAATTAATTGTTACCGAAAAAGAAGGGAACAAAATCTAAGACTTCCCATATAGAAGTTTTGTACTTAGTCGTGAACCTAAGACTCCTTGAACATAAATTTTATACTTGATCATTAATTTAGTCCTAAAGCCGAAAAAAGAGGGTAACTAAATTCAAGACATCTGTTATTATCTGGGATTTCTTGAAGACTAAAGAAAAAATAACTATCTAGAGATGGTATGGGTAGGATTTTCGATCAATCCAATCTGATAAAAATATATACTTCATCATAAAGCTGATATGGTTCGGGTTTAGAATGGTTTTACTTGAATAACACATTTGATCTATCTTTTGAGGTAAAGCTCATACTCGATCTAATATAATTCAACATGAATATATATAAAAAGAATCTTAATTTTATCTTTATAGGAATCTAATTGAAAAAAATAATATAGATAGATATATTATTATTATTATTCTTAAATAAATAAAGTATAATTTTATTTTTCCCAAATAAAGTCGATTTTTTTTCGTCATAAACTCAAACTCAACCCTACTATAACATATATTCCGAAAAACCGACCTGAACACCGGAACTTATAAACTTATCATCCGACATAACAAATGTGATTAACAAAAAAATATTGAAAAATGGATCTTGTTAACTACGCAAGTAACAACCTTTCAAGAAAAAGTAACAAGGAAACAAATACCCAGAAAAGAGACAACACCTCAAACTAAATTCAATCAACCCCACGAATTATCAAACGCGGCGTTAGAAACGGCCTGTGAGAACTCCTCAAAACTAATCATCCCATCCCCATCGGTATCCGCCTCCTTAATCATCCCCGTCAACTCCTCCGCCGTCAGCGCGTGCCCAATCTTCGCCATCGAATGCGCCAACTCAGCTGCCGTGATATATCCGTTCCCATCCCTATCGAACATCTTGAACAACTGCCTCAGCTGATTCTCACTGTAGGGCGACTTCTCCGAAAGCAGCTCCGGCGCCACCAGGGATACAAACTCCGAGAACTCAACCAACCCGTTGTTGTTCGTGTCGGCCTTTTGTATCAAGGCTTCGACTTGGTCGGAGATGGGTTTTAGGCCTAAAGACCGCAAAAGAGAATCGAGTTCCAGCTGCGTCAGGCTGCCGTCGTTGTTACGATCAAAAGATCTGAAGATTTCTCGTAGTTCGGCGATTTGCTCATCCTCTAGCTTGAGTGGTTCCTTGCCGCTCATTTTAACAGATCGGAAGCCACAAATCTTAAAACAATCTCTTCTATTGTATACCCCAAGAACCAAAGAGAAGAAAGTCAAGACTAAAGCAGCACAAAATGATCGAGCAAAACTCTCTTGAAAATATAAGCATTTGAATTCATACATCTTTCAACGATTATGAATAAGTCCACGCCGTGGCAAAGTTTATTGTATTAAGGGTAAACTACACCAAGGATTACTTAACTATTACCTGATTTCATTTTGGACATCAATCTTTCAATTTTATCAATCATAACACTTAACTATTTAAGTGTTATCAATCAAGCCACCCGGCTTTGATATCTAATTGAAGAGCTCTTTCATGGCTACTAAAAATTAGTATAACTAGACATTTATTCCTCAATATCTACAAGTGCAATAATTTTATTAGAGATTAAATTTATTAAATTAAATTAAAATTATGATCAAATTAATAAAATATTGAAGATTAAATGAAAAATTATAGTATTATTTTAACATGCTCCTTCGTTAAATGGTAGCGATAGATGACTCGATTGAAAATAATTAAATAATTAAGATGTTTGATTGATAAAACTAAAGAATAGTGATCAACATGAAATTAGACAATAGTTAAGTGATCATAGATGTAATTTACGCTTGCATTTATGACAAATGAATTATTAGAACCCTCAGACACGTATTTCTTTGATTTATTAGTTGACGTGGACTAATCCAGTAGCGACAACTCGTAATCCAATGGTTAAGACTACTGGCCTGCTTTCCGTAAATTTTCTAGTTTGACTGTATCCTTCTCTTTCTTTCTTTTTTTCCTTTTTAATAAAAAAATTGTCATTCACATAATTACTTTTGTTTATCAACATCGATTCCTCTTTAATATGAAAATAATTTTTATTATACGAAAATGTATATTTGTAATAAAAAATAACAAAAGTTAAACTGTTGAACAATACGTCGTGGTCTTAAGATACCGTTGAAAGGAAAGCATATGAATTCGGGTTCTCCTGTGCTGCACCTAAAAAATGATTAAAAAATAATGTAATCGGTTAAAGAAGTGATCGATTAAAATTTAGACCGGTTATGTTATATCGTTTAACTGAAAATATTATCAAGCACAATAACATATTAGCTAACGTTTATATAATGTAATAGGTAGCGCTTATATAATAAAATAAGTATTTAACCGGAAATATTATCAAGTACAATAATATATTTGGTAGCGCTTATATAATATAATAGGTAGCGCTTATATTGACCTATTTTCTCATAAAACCGGTAAAAATTTCAACCGATTACATTGTAAATTGACTTATTACATTATGATTATCGGTTTTGATGTTTTTGGGATCGATACAATTTTAAATGTATCGACACTTTATGCGTGCACCTGTTTGTGCTTTCATTTTGGAAAAAAAGTATCGACACATATTTAAAGAGTGTCGATGCATAATGTAGACATATTTACTAATTAACCGGTATATTTTTACCGGTTGCATTGTAACCTGTTAATAATTAACGGTTTCATTGTATTTGGATCGATACTTTTATAAATGTATCGACAGTTTATGCGTACACCTCATCTGGACAAGTGTATCGACACAAATTTAAAAAGTGTCGATACTTTATGTTGACATATTTTCTCATATTTTTAGTTGTTATATTGTTATCGATCGATACATTTTCATAAAGTGTCGACACTTTTTAGGCGCTATAACTTCTTCTCTTTTAAATTCAGAAAGTGTCGATACTTATATTAAATTATCGACACTTTCAACATATCCGGTAGCCTTTTACCGGTTTTGTCATTTTGAGACCGGTTTTGTCATATTTTTACCTGTTATATTGTTATGGATCGATACATTTTTTTAAGTATCGACACTTTATAGGCGCTATAACTTCTTCTCTTTTCTTTTATTTAAATTCAAAAAGTGTCGATACTTATATTTAAGTATCGACACTTCTGGTAGTTATTTACCTGTTTTGTCATTTTGAGAACGGTTTTATCATATTTTTAGCTGTTATATTGTTATAGATCAATTTTCATAAAGTGTCGACACTTTTTAGGCGCTATATCTTCTCTTTTAAATTCAGAAAGTATCGATACTTATATTAAATTATCGACACTTGCAATATATCTGGTAGCATTTTACCGGTTTTGTCATTTTGAGATCGATTTTGTCATATTTTTACCTGTAATATTGTTATGGATCGATACATTTTTTTAAAGTATTGACACTTTTTAGGCGCTATAACTTCTTCTCTTTTTATTTCCAAAAGTGTCGATACTTATATTAAAGTATCGACACTGTTAATTTACCTATTACATTATAATTATTTGTTTCGATGTTTTTGGGGTCGATACTTTTGGAAAATGTATCGACACATATGTTTACATATGTATCGAAACAAATCTTTGTGTTTACTAATTTTGTAATTAAAAAAGTATATTTTAACCACCTACATTGTAATTTTACCTATTACTTTAAAGTTATTGAATGTTGTAGTTATTGTACATACCTGAATATGTCCTGTAAATTTGATGTTGTACCCACCCTTCAACTACCACTACCAATACCACATCCTATTGATAGTACCACTGAAAACATGTTGTTCAATGAACTTTTACTTACATCTCCATCAACTCCTGTTGGGACCACTGAAATTGCACAACAAAATTTTTGCCATGGATCATACTGATGCAGAAAATGTTAAGCCAACCGATGAATGTCATGAAGTGCATAATGTTGATGAATCCGACATATTGGTTGGTAATATCTTATCTTCACGTGATCAAGCTTGGTACTTTTACAAGGGATTCGCACGGGAACATGGGTTTAGTGCACGTAAAGGAACAATACGACTTGACGTGAAAGGGAATGTGAAGACACAAGAATTTTGTTGTTCCAAAGAAGGGTTTTGAGTATCAAAAATCAATATTATTGATCGTCAACGTGCTCATACGCCAGTCACAAGAACTGGGTGCAAGGCTAGAGTCATAGTTACAACAACAAATACAAACGATCAATGGGTTATAAGTAAGTCTTATCAGAAACATAATCATGCATTGTGCACACCTGCTATGACACCATTTATGCGTTCTAATAGAGCTGTAAGTAAGGCTGATATTGATGAGACAACAACATTGAAAGAGGTCGGTGTTAGCACGTCACAAGTAATGAACTATTTAACGCAGCAGGCAGGGGGCTATCATAATGTTGGATTTACACATAAAGACCTCTACAATGCACTTCAAAGAGGTAAAGCAAAGGAAATCGTCGATGGGGATGTGAATGCGCTTATTGCTTACTTTGATTATAAGAAACATGATGATCCTGGGTTTTTTGTGACATATTAGGTAGATGAATCAGGGGCGTTGCATAATCTAATTTGGTCGGATTCTACATCGAGATCAGATTACATATGCTTCGGTGATATAATTGCGTTCGACACGACGTACATAGATAATTTGTATGGTCGACCAATTATGCCTATTGTCGGTGCCAATCATCACCATAACACAATTGTGTTTGCTACTGCCATAATCACTGACGACACGTCCCAATCTTTCGAGTGGGTGCTACATAACTTTTTAGAAGCCATGATGAACAAATCGCCTATTTCAGTTGTCACCGATGGGAATAGGGCAATGCAGAGGGTTATCAAATCTGTTATCCCTAATGCTAAGCATAAATTATGTTCTTGGCATCTTTCTCGCAATGCACAAGCTAACATTGGTGACCCAAAATTTACAGCAACATTCTCAAAATGCATGGTTTCCTGGTGGAAAACCGACAAATTTGATCTTCAATGGCGTTCAGTTGTTTCAGAATTCAACGTCGAAAATCATCCATGGGTGATTGAGAAGGGAAATACTCGACACTTATGGGCACAAGCATATCTAACCGGTTATTTCTTTACTAATATTCGCTCAACACAAAGGTGCGAGTCTATGAATGCTTCACTCGTAATTGCACTGAAACACAAGAAGACTTATTTAGATGTTGTTTGTGCAATTGAAGATGGAATAGTAAAATACGTCTGAACGAGTTGAAAGTGGATTACTTAAGTTCCCAGACGAAGCCCTTCCAGATCACAAAACTGGTTGAATTTGAAAGTAATGCTTCTGAGCTTTTTATGCGTGAATCTTTTCATGCGTTCCAAGAAGAACTTCAACGAGAGACATTGTACCGGATTCAAGAAGAGATTGAATCCTTATCAGATGAATGTCAATATTTTTATTTGAAAAAATACAAAGAAAAAATAGGACATTTGAAATTAGTTTTGATTCTCGTACGGAAACCCTAAATTGCTCATGCAAATAATTCGAGACCGTTGGACTTCCATGTCGCCATCAACTTCACGTTTTTAAGCACTTGGATTACACATATTTGCCTGGGTCTTTGATTCAAAGTAGGTGGACTAAGGATGCGAAGGCTTCTATACCTAGTTTTGTTGATTTGAATATGCCTCCAGAAATAATGCAAATGGCAAGGTTTTCTTCTCTACGTGCAACATAAAGTATGTTATGCTACGCTGCATCAAAGATAGACGCGTCTTTCAAAACCGCAAGAGATGATATGAAAAGACTAACAGAAGAATTTGAGAACTCGTTTGGTTTGAATGATTCAGTCAATCGGAGCAATATATTAAACAACGTTTGCGACCCTCAACGGAAACAACGCAAGCGAAAAGAAGTAACAAAGAACAAGGTTGATAAGAAAATTAGGCGATGTGGGTTCTGCAACGGTGAGGGACATAACAAACTAACATGTCCTCAAGTGAAGTTGGGTTTGAATACAAGCACGCAGTCTACTTCAACTGATTTTTTTGAAGACGGATTGGAATGGTTATTCAGTCCAGCACATGATGTTAGAGACATTTGGAATAATGCTCCATATATCATAAGTATCAACATGACTCCTACTGTGTATAAGAAACATGTACAACAACCTATTGTTATTGCTAACTTTTCTCATCTCATACATAATTACATTCACATTCAAATTGTCAGTACGTTAAGTATTGTAAACCACAACATTCAATCTACGACTTTTAATAATTTAGCCGCAAACTTATTTTTAATTATACTTACAAAATCACC